ATTTTTGGGGTCAAATTTGCCCTAGGGAGAGGGCATCATATAGTTTTGTCGCAGTTTCCAACCGCACCACAAAATTCCGGGCACGCAGTAAGCACGCGCTTAGCAACAATTATCGCTTAAAATTTCTCCGATTCTTTTGCACATTCTACCCCAAAAGTTTCTCGAAATTATAACAGAATGATAATATGTAAAATTCAGAAATTTAGAAGACAACAGAGAACAAAAAAAGCGAAAAAATACGGAATTTCAAAAGTATATGGTTGCTATGGGTGAGTAATTTGAGATAACAAAGCAACCTGTCATTTTGACTCTTATTTCGACTTATAACACGAAAGCAGCTTAAAACTATCTGCTGGTTTCATTAATCTTTTCAAGCGCTATCGTTTGGTCGTATTCCGGGGTCTTTAGCTCAAATTAATTAATATCTTTATAGCTACAGCGACTTTCGCATACTTTAGAGATATCCCGAAATTATGTCCCGAATTTGAAAAGCAATGTTTCCTCTTGAAGTAACAAAACTTGTTTCATTTGGATAACTTTATTCAATACGAACGGTTTATTCGAATAAAAACGGTACATGGGAAAATAATTATTAATCTTGCTACAAACCACGGCCGAGTAAAAATTAATATAATTTTCAATCACTCGGAATCAGTACTTTTACTCTGATGCTTATTTTCTTCTTACTATATATCGCGCTGTAAAAAATTGAAAACATTCAGCCAGATTAAAATTATTCGAACAATATATTGGGTAACTATTATTATAGGTCATTCACACCAAGATCAAATTTCCATTTGTAAAACTATATTTCAAATAACCTTAAGTTGCCGTGAAAATTAAATTGTATTGGTCGATGCAAAATTTTGCTTTTTCTCTTTGGGAAAAATATCGCCCGCTCATATGGCGACAACAATTCCATTTGAAGACATACAGCCTCCTACCGTCATCTTTAGCGGGCATCACTTTCACGCAAATTTGCATATCACAGTTTGAAGCAGCATAATTATTTTCTAATCGACGTCTTTTTCACTCGGAGTTTTATAGTTTTTTAAGTCCAGATATTGTCAGGGAGGAATAAATTAAATTTCTTCTGCATCAAACCATGTAACCCTGTCAATTTTAACGATAAACTGCCAAAATTATTTATGATTATAAGCGCCTATATATTAACAGGTGGCTCCTTACAGGTTGATTTTCCTAAGGCACTAATTATGTTCTTCTTTATATTAACAATATTTTGGAGCGGCAATTAATTGCCATGTTGCAACAAATATATTCAGTTTGCGCCAAAACGTGGTGATATACACGCAAACTGGCAACGTCATAAAATAATGATCCTTTCAGTACAATTGTGTGCAACCTAGATGAAACTGTTGGGAGCCACCTGAAATTAAGTAAAACCGTGACATTTAATTTTAAAGTGAAAATTAGAAGGTTAATATTTAGCAATTATTGAATGAGGTTGAACATAATATGAAGAATTATCAAGCCGAAGTTTGTCATTATCAACCGAAGCCTGAGGTTGATAATGACAAACTGAGACTTGATAATTCTTCATATCATGTGAAAACTGAATTCAATAAATGTTTTATTGTTTATTTAAAAGAACGAACAAAGTTGCCGAACCTTTCACTTGAGGACACTTCGCCATTCTTGTGACGTCAAACATGGGATACAACTATTTATCACACTAAAAAAAGTCGTATCACACGTTATGACGTCACACGTTGGATATGACGATTTCACACATGGCTATTAGCCAATCACAGACAGTGAATTCTTTTAAATAAATAATAATAGTAATTAACAATTATTGGAAAAGGTTGAGTGTGATATCAAGAATTATTAAGCCGAAGTTTGCATTATTCGGATAACGCAAACTGAGGTTTGATAATTTTCGATGCAATTTTCGATGGAAATTTTGTTTTAGACCAATCATGCAGCAGGTTTGTTTACATTTTTAGTAATCCATATCCTGTCAAAAGGTACATTATTTAGTATTTTAAATGAAGTATGAAAAACTGATTTAGGCATTCTGATTGGCTTTGCTTGAAAAATGCCAACAAATATGCCGATTACTTTAAAAACGACATTCCCGCTTGTTCTAGCCTGATGAATTGATTTTGATAATTCGTGTAGATTTTTGGCCAAATATTAGCATGACGGGTCAAGCTTGATACTATAGTTTACTGCGTAAATTACTACAGTTTTATCTTGAAATGACATTGTGTAAAATATTTAAAAAATAGACGAATATTGCTGTATTTTGTCATGTTAAAGCAGTTTTAAATCGTAATTCGTTTAAAAGAAGTTATCAAGGATTAGTTTACTGTACTTTTTTATTGGTTTCAATCAATATAATGGGGTATTTTATAGTTTAAGTTGTAAGCTTCGTGCATGAGGTAAAATATGAGCTACCTACCTTATGTAATTATTATACACTGGCGGTCAAAAAGAACTGCTCAAAAGTTATTTTTTACGACTTAATACAAGAATGCCTAAAGTCACTCTTTTGAAACTGTAAATTAAATTAAATATGTACAATTTTTGTATTAATAGTATTTGGTAGGCCCTCCTCTAGCCTTTACGATGGCTTTACACCTGCGAGGCATGCTATCTATCAAGTTCCTTAGGTTATCTTGACGGAATTCTCTCCAAGCAGTTTGGACACTGTCCCACAGTTCATCGTTATTTTTGGGATTTTTCCTTAAACCATAGTTTTAACGTGGTCCCACAGATTCTTTTTTTTTTTCTTTTTTTTTTTATAATTGGTTTGTCACTAAAAGTTACAGCAGTGACAGGAGGCAATAACAGGACATAAGTCCCAATTTGTAATTGTCTCCTTATCTAAAAATAAATACACTAAAATACAACTAGTACAGACATATACAGAAATTTTACAAACAAACTCGGACGGTCACATATGCTTACATTATTACAAAACAGAAGTTATTATTACTAAGTATTATGGAGGAACGTAACTTTGCAGAGTATCTTTAGATTGAAGTATAAGCCTTGTTTTAAGTGATTGTAGTGATGAAGAGGCTTTAGTATCATGCGGTAGCTTGTTCCACAAATTTATCACCCGTGGAAAGAAGGAGAATCTAAAATAATCTTGTTTGTGTGATATCTTGGTTTTAAAGTTATGTGAACTAGAATTACGTGTTAAACGAGCACAGTTTACTGGAGAGAAAATGCCCTTAGAGTCGATATACATAGTACCAGAGTTGAATTTATAAAATAGAGTAATGTCCTTGATAGATCTTCGATATTCCAGGGGTAGCAGGTTAAGTTCGCTGAGTCTGTTGGCGTAAGATACATTACTTTCTGGGTAGTTCAGGATGAATTTGGTGGCGCGGCGTTGAACATTTTCAATTAATGCCCGATGTTTAGCAGTGTATGGCGACCAAACACTGCAATACTCCAACTGCGGGCGAACCAGAGTGCAGTACAGCGTCCTCCTTGTCTTCACGTCTTGCACATCTCTACATACTCTCTTCACCAATCCCAGCGTTCGGTTTGCCTTTGCCGTGATTTCCTCGATGTGCTTAGACCATTGTAAATCTCTGGAGACAGTCACACCGAGGTCTTTGATGCTTGACACACTCTCCAACAAATGTCCATCCAAGATGTAGTCGAACTTGTGACTGGGTGACTTTTTTCTGGAGATGCGCAACGCTTTACACTTCAAGGGATTAAAAAGCATCGAGTTATCAGCACTCCAATCCCGAAGGTTATTCAGGTCTTGTTGGAGATTGGTCGTCGACGAAGGACTATCAAGGGTTTTATACAATTTTGAATCATCGGCAAACAGCGCTAAAGTGGACCCTGTGGTGATGTAGCCAGGCAGATCATTTGCGAAACGATAAACAGAAAGGGACCGAGGATTGATCCCTGAGGCACCCCGGATGAAACTGGCAACCAGTCAGAAGACGCACCTTCTAATACTACTCGTTGGTACCTGTCAGACAGATAGCTATGGAACCATTGATGGAGGGAACCAGATATACCAAGTTTAGAAAGTTTGGCGAGTAGCAGGTGATGCGGAACTTTATCGAATGCCTTCGACAGATCCAGGTATAAAACATCAATCTCCTTGCCACTGGCTACACAATCCAACAGGTCGTGATACACAACCAGTAGTTGAGATTCAGTAGAATGGCCTTGACGGAATCCATGTTGTAGGGGGTAGAGGAACTGCGATGTATGTGGAAAACAACGGTTAAATACGCAACGTTCTAGCACCTTGGATAGGATGCACAGTAGAGAGATTGGCCTGTAGTTGTTTGGCAGTGAAGGATCGTTACTTTTATAGACAGGAGAAATGTTGGCCTTCTTCCAGTTTTCTGGGAAAACACCGAGGGATAAAGACATATTAAAGAGACGACACAGGCTTGGTGCAATAGCTGCTGCGGTGGATGTAATAAGTCTTCCAGGGATGTTGTCAGGTCCACATGCCTTAGATGGATTCAGTGTATTCAAAACAGCTTCTACTTCACCAACTGACAGTTCGATATCAGATAGTTGCTGATCAACATCACGGGAAGGAAAAGATGCAGGAGAGACAGGTGAGTGAGGTGAAAATACGGAGTTGAAGAACGAGTTCATCAAATTAGCTTTCTTAACTGGATCAGACACAATCATTTGGCCATCACGCAGGACGTTGGAAATAGAACGTTTAGTAGTTAATGACTTTATCAAGGACCAGAAACGATTTGGGTTGCTCGCAAGCACATCACCAAGTTTATGGCCAGACTCCTTCTTTTTCTGCGCGATGAGTCTTTTTGTTTCCCGTCGAATTTCAGAATACGCGAGAGGTCGTCTGGATTCCCTGTAGCCGAGCTTTTCTCCGAAGTTTATTTTTGCGTCGGATACAGGACAACATTTCTGCATCGATCCATGGATGGGCGGACGCACTCTTGACCTGGCGCACCGGCACGTGATCCTTTACTGCAGCAAGAAATAAATCGCACCAGTGGGTTAGGGTTGCATCGACATTATTTGAAGTAAAAGCCAAATCCCAAGGTTCTAGAAAGAGCCTCATTCAGGTCATTCCAGTTAGTGCGCTTGTAGTCGAAGACGTTGCGTTTGACAGTTAGTTTTTTTGGAGTGTTAAAATCCATGGAGAAACTGATGAGTTTATGATCAGTAGAAATGACGTCATCATACCCATAAACATCTTTAACTTTTTCAGGTACATTGGTTAATATTAGATCCAGTGTGTTAGAGATCCGTGTCGGGAAGTCTACTAATTGCCATAGGTAGTTATCACGCACTAACTTTGTGAAACAGTTCTCAATAGCGTCATTGGTTTTTGAGGTGCCAGTAGCCCAGTCTATGTTTGGCAAGTTGAAGTCGCCACATAAAATGAGCTGATCGAATTTGGCATTATGTGCTAGACGTAGAGATGCTTTTAACTCCTTCAAGTACTCAAGACTGGAATCCGGTGGTCGATAGTAGACAGCAACAAGAAGTTTACGTCTGTTGTTAGGTCGAATCTCGCAAAATAGAACCTCAGAACTATCCCCCTCCAAATCTTGACGACGAAAACACGTAATCGTATCTCGAACGACCAACATAACTCCTCCACCAGGCCGAGAAGTTCTGTCTTTTCTAAAGATGTTGCAATTTGTCCCGGGCAGCACTTCACAATCCATAACCGTCGGTTTCAGCCAAGTTTCTGTAACAGCGATCAAATCTTTATCAGCTGCGAGAACTTGAAGATCATCCAACTTACGCACGACGCTTCTTGCATTAAAATATAGGCAGCGCAACATGTTCTTGTTATTGGATTGCAGAGTAGGGCCAGGATTAGTTTGTATGTCACCAGCAAAGTAGAATAAGCAGGAAGATGTGGGATGCTTTACCAGTAGTTTGGAAACCTAATCCATAATGGTAATCGGGAGGATAATTATTTACTCTTAGCCGTTGATCACGAGTAGCGGTCCATGTGAAGCATAAGTTATCAGGTAGATTTGCCAAAGAACATTGGATTATGATCCCATTTAAGGAAGTCTTGGAGTCAACGTTGCTAGGACATGGTTTTAAGCACCAATAGACAATTGTCACCAAGAGCGAAACACGAATTAATCCATTTACTATCCAATTACAAATATCTACAGTACCATAAGCATCTCTATAGTTTCCATACAATATACGTGTGCAGATGTCTCGTCTACGTTTGAATACGCGCGCTTTCGTCGCCATACGCATGGCGTATATTGCGTGCGTCAAAAACCAACCGTCTAATTAATGTAAACGAGTCCAGTAACGGTTAGTAATAGATAAAAACCACCAGATATTAGCACAAAACGAACAAAAAGTTTAAAATAAATTCTATTTTCTTGTTAACTGATGTCTTACCAATCTCCCTTTAATAACATTTCAGCCGCAGCATCAAGAATAGCAGCAAAAAATGCAAAAATCTACGGAGCAGTTGCATGCGCAACTGTACGCAATCTCGCGAATCTTCCTCCTATCCTATCCTATATTCTCTATCGGGTTGAGATCTGGTGATTGTGCTTGCCACTCCATGACTGTAATTTCCTCTTCCTCAAACCAATTCCTTGCTACCCTTGAGGTATGGCAAGTGGCATTGTCTTGCTGAAATACCCAGCCATCAGGCATAGCCAACATGTGAGTTGTGTGAATAAGTGCATTCTCCAAGACAGAAATCTACCCTGACCCGTTAAGCCTACCGTTCACCATCGAGAGACATCCAGTTCCCCTTGAATTGATGCATCCCCATACCATTATTTCGCCACCACCATGTTTTACCGTTGGTTGTACACAATATTCTTTGAGATCCTCACCAACCATTCTCCTGACATACACCCGACAATCACTCCTATGGAGTAGAAATTGTGACTCGTCACTAAAGATAACTTTTGACCACTGTTCTGCTGTCCAATTTTGAGCATCCTCGCAAATTGAAGACGTGCTTTCTTGTGGCGAGGGGTAAGACTTCTTCCTTGGTTTGCAGCCATTGAAACCAGCTTCTCTTAACCTTCGTTGGGTGGTGGAAACAGAGATATTGACTCCATGCTCATTTTGCATCCCTGCTTTAAACTCGGGAGCGGTTTTAAAGCGATCAGCTTTGCTTTTTCGAACTAAGATGTTGTCTTTTCTTCTTGTTGTCTTTCTTTTACTGCCCGGTATCTTGCAATCTTTAACGCTGCCTTGAGTCTCCCCCTCTTGAGTATGTCACTGACACTTCTTTAGCTGCAGCCAACTCTGCTAGCAATCTTGCGTTGGGAGTAGCCTTCTTTCGACAATGCCAGTACCATTCCTCGACGTTCAAGACTTATTCTTGGCTTTGGACCCATGATTTCGTAACTTACTTTAGATTCTTCTTATCGACTGAATAACTCTTGTTGAAACTGGAATAAACTACGACTTTTGAATTAAAGCTTATCTAGGTCAAAAGACTTGGCGAAGAATGTGGGACATTTCCACACGCGGTAAACATAATTATTTATGGAAAAAGAAAGTAAAATCTTTTGTTACAAGATAAAACTTTTGCCTATATATGAAATACCAATTTGAGCAGTTCTTTTTTACCGCCAGCGTATATTATTGCGCCATTGGCGTTCAAATTATCATGCATATTTGGGCTGCCTATGTTTATACCCAAAGGAGTGGAGTTCGAGAATAACCCTACGTTTAGAGATTTAAAAGAAGATAAAAAAAGTTGTTTTATACCATGTTTTATGCGCTGCCTTTTGATTTATCCGCTCCAGCTAGTCCTTTACCCACAAGTAAGCATTGCGTACCTATTTTTATAATAGCAGTTGGGTAGATTGAAATGCAAGTCCTGATGGGGTATTTAATGGTTTATTTTACGTGTTCTAGTTTAATAAATTCTGCGAAATTTTATGCAAGAAAGGAAAGGTATAAATTAATTGCGAATGGCTGAAATTTATAGATACCTTGCAATATAACCAGAGAGCAGCGTGGAAGAGTCTTCAAACAACTTAGCATCAAATGTAGTAAAACAACTGCCTTAAATAGACAAAACAATTCTAAATTTCTCTATTTTAGGCAGTTGTTATACCACATTAATTTCATGCTAAGCTGAAAATTATAGTTACCCACGTTGTTTTGTGGCAAAAATTAATTCATTGTCTACGTCATTGCCAGATAAAATTTTCTATTTTTTTTTATCTTAACATACACATGACTAAACACAATTAAGAGTTGTGTAACAATCCACCTCGCCTAGAATAAGAACTTAACATTAGCTAAGTATTACATAAATTATCTGCAATGTCTCTAAACATTAACCTATGTATTTATTTTCTGAGCTCGGCGTGGCTATCACGGGCATATTACCAAATGCCTAATAACTGAAACCATACACATAGTACATGTTGTTAATCTACGACAACACTACATAATTGATTATACAAGATACCATTGATCTAAATATAATTTTCTTATGCCTATGCGTACTTCAGGGGTAATCTATAATATGCATTCAACACACGAGAAATAGCGATTCAAACTAAAATTGGTGCCAAAACAAGTCGTGAAATTTCTTGTTTCCCCATGGGACCAAGCGAAATTATAAATTTTGTAGATACAATCAAAAAATGTACCAAAAATTATCAACGTTGTGCATGCGTAGCAAATTATATAATAACGTTAAGAATTCAAGCCATTTCATTGGTCGAGAGCCATTAGAACTAATTTGGAGAAATATTATCAACGAATTACGCGTCTAAAACTAAATGTGTCAGAACAAAACTTAATATATATACTGACCAAACTAAAAATCTGTATGCCCTGTCCTAAGATAGCATGTTAATTAGCATGCATGAGGTTATTGGAAATTTGTTTGAATCGCTATTTAAGAATTAGAAAACATTTTCCGTGTTTCTATACAGTTATAGAAACACGCGTGGTATTTTGGGAGAACGAGAAATAATCAGTGCGAAAACGAACCCGTAGGGCGAGTTTTTCCACGTTATTTCGAGCTCGCCCATATTCCCACGCGTGTTTCTATAATTGTACAGAAACACAGGAAAAAATGTTTGCTATTTTGTACATATACTATACTCGATTCGATTGTTTCTAAACAGTTACAGAAACACGCTTCTCGACGAATCAACACGCGCGTACTATAAATGTTATATTATAAACTGCCATGTTTAATATCATGAAACATTTGCCGCGAAATGTGTAAATAATTTGAATTTACGCATATAACACAAATTAAAATTAACAAAAGTATGCAAAATTTTCAAAATTCGCATGACTACTTTCTGAAATCTTGATTTAAGTAGGCTCTTTCTAGCTGCGGTGATTTATTACCTTTCCTTTGCCTAGGTCTTGAATTAGACTAAAGCGGATACTAATCACTAATAAATAATATAATATGTAGTCACATGCATAATACAAATAATAAATAATACGGCCTGGTCTCACTTAGTTTTTCAAGCCCCCTTCCCCAAAATCCTTGCTACGTCTCTGATTAATAAGTTTTATTAAAGATTTAGAAAATCAGATTTAAGAGGTGCTGGTACGGCTACGATGCGTGCAAGTATAGCTACGTCAATAGGCGATATAGAATAGGTAGAGGAGCATTTTAACGAACAAATATTTTCCAGAAATCATTGCGCGACAATGTGTCATTATTATCCCAAGAGTAATCATCGCATTCCCAACGGCCATGTGGTTGTTGAATTAACCAGTGAACCTTGAAGCCAATAAAGACCGGAATATCAAATAAACGATATTTCACCGGAAGTCCTTCGTAATGCCATTTACCAACATAGAAATTTCCCGATTCATAACCCCACTGAGAACACTGACTGGCCATCGTCGAATTGTCATCAGGCAAACGATAATAAGATCCACAGCTCTTGGGGAGGGTGTTTGTCTGAGCAGTAAAATACTTAATAACTTCTTGACCAAGATTGTTGGTTTTATTTGTAGCGATATCAAAGACTCGTCCTACAGTCTTTTTACGGCAGAAAAATCTGAGTTGATTGAACGACATGTTTGATGCGAGGTCGTGAAGAGCATACGTAGATATTGCAAGCTTTTGGTTTTTGTATTCACTGATTTGTTTATAATCATCTGTCAGAAAGACATCCATTCCTTTGGACTGATTTACAACAAGGTTAGTGACCAGTGTCAAGCCACCTATAGAGGATGGAGCTGTGATACATTACTACATAATTATTAAGTCCGACGATTTGATTTTTAAATAGCAACAAAGACGTTTTATCTTTCACCCATATTATATTAAAGTAATCCTGTGTTTTTCACTGTGACCCCCCTTAATTTAACTGCTCTTTAACATGCTTCTAATATTACATCCTTCGTATAGGTCTGTTAATTTCTATTATTGTATCGAGGCATATATTGCGATTTGCATAATAATATAGACCAATAAACAATGCATAATTTGAACAATAAGCATGATTGCAATAATTCCTCCATCACTTTTCATATCACAGTAAACTTTTAATGTTTTATTGTCCAATTCAATCCAGTATTCTCCGTTTCCCAAAGATGCTGTTTTTTTCCGTAGAAGAATGTCTAAACACGACTTTCCAGGATTGCTTCTCCCACCAACCTTTAAATGACATTATAAATTCCGTCAATCTAACATATGCTTTTCTTAATGAAACAATGTTACCAAATCTTTATTTTTCTATTAAAATGTTTATATGAGCTGCGATTCAAACTGGTATTAATAGCCATCCCTTCAACAGAATTAGGGGGTAACACCGTGGCATCACCGTCTTTCTATAGGTATAGGTAGATTTACCAGGCTAGTCCACTCTT